AGAGGTGCTTTTACCTAATCTTTCAGACTTACCTGTCTTGAAACCTTACCACCTCTTGATGTTGAACTTCCGTGTAAATTATCATGGGCTGCTGCATTTTCCAGCTGGTTTTTTATTCTCCTGCCTAATGGATCCCGAGGAATCTTCCTGACAAGGGAAAAACACAGTCGGTATGGGCCATCAAAGGATGGCAAAGGAAAATTTATTTCTGAGTGGTAAAGACCCAGGATCTACATGCAAGGCGTGCCAGGAAGAGGGAAGGAAATGTTCTGGCCAAGCTGCTGTGTTTCTCTTGTAGAGTTTGGGAGCATGGCAGCCTCTGGTTGGACAGGCTGGGGTGGCTCTGGATGCAGGAGCTGTGGTGGGAGAGAAATAAAGGCTAAAACCACAGCGAAGTTCGACACTGATCCTTTCTCTCATTATCTGGAGCTGTTGGAGGGTCCCTGTGCCCCTCCACCTGTGTGCTGTGGGGATGGGCACAAACATCCTGGTGCCTGTCCCTGGAGAGCCCTGGCAGGGCAGGGGGAAGGCACTTTCCCTCTCCACCGTGAGCTCCCTGAGGCGTTTGGCAAGGCGAGCCTCTGCTTCTCAGGTTGCCAAAGCCCAAGACAGGCGTCAGAAGATGAGTGCAAAGTCTAGAGAGAGTCGCACAAACGAATTGTTCATGCAGAGGACTGAAAATGCTGCCCTATTCCCTCCTTTCATACAGCGCTCAGCCCTGTAACCCGTGTTTTTGGGGTGTATTTGTAACGTAAATTGCCTTCTGCATTAAGCCCAGGGAGGATGTGAGCTGTGATCTGAACTGTGTGGTAGCTCTGGCGCTGCGCTGGGGGTTATTTCAGGGGTCTGCAACACAGTGTCCAAGGTCTGAAGACAAAAATTAACAGGATAACAAGCGCTGCCATCACAATCTTTTCCCTTTAGGTATTTGCTGTGTGAGGCAGCTTCTTAGGTTCAGGGTTTTTGCTGCCACATCCAACCCTGCATGAGGCAGCAGCGTGAGCTCACTAGTGAAAGTGAACTATAATTTATTAGCCATACCAGAAGCTAATAAACTAGCTTCCCCTGCAGTTCCACAGGGTTCTGATGCATGATACACAATAAAGCTGCAACCCAAAGGGGTGTAACCACGGAACCGGGCTCTTACCCATGGAAAACCCTTGTCTGTTAAAGATTAAATGCTTCACATTTTTATTTTCTGGTCTCAGACATGAGATAAACGAGAAAAGACGTTCACCCTTGCTCTGACAGAAGTGAATTTTAGATGCTACAAATTGCTTTCCTGTGAGTGCTCTTTCTTGCTGCTACTCCTTCCTGTAATTACACTGACTTTGTTTGCCAGATGTTCAGTGACAACATTATACCGCTGTAGTCTGTTTTCCAGTTGCTTTATTTGTTCCAAGGACAACTCCTTTCTTGCCTTTTCTTTCGGGGAGGAAATAGACAAAGGGGGGGAAAAAAATCCTTTACAAATGTTTTAAAGTGCAAAGACCGGGACAATGGGTTTCCCCCCTCTCTCTGTCTAACTGAAACAATGAAAGTCCTGCACTTTAATCTTCTTAGCCCCAGGGGTCTTCTAATTATTGCAGCTGTTGCACAGGCTTATGCATAGTGAGTCCTCCTTCCCATTCATCTCGGAGGCTCTTTCATGTCCATCAGCTCCTCGCTGGAAATGGAGGAGCCTCCAGCTCTGAGAATAGGTGAAGTTTACCTTGTGGATCAGGGCGAGGAGAACAAAGCATTCCCCGAGTTCCTTTCCAGGATTTACAAATGACCAAAGGCTCTTCTTTGCCTCGGCGAAATCCACTTTAAATTGGCTGGGATTTTAACTCTTTGGTCCTGCCTTGTTCAGGTGTCACGCCGGCTCTGTCAGGGTAGGAAGGGCAGTGGTGCTTCCAACATGGAAAAAAAAAGGAAGGAATGAGAGGTGAAGTAGCTCGTTGTGGAAAATGAACTCATATGTTTAAGCAGCAGGAAGCTTAAAAAAAAAATATACAGCTTTAGGATATATGTTGCCATCCCCTCTAAGGTAGCAAACCTGTTGGTGGCTGCACTGAGAAACAGAAACTCCTGTGCCGAGTTTGAAGTCTTATACTGTCACTTAAGCAATTTTGAAAAACAATTATAAAAAAGACAATTATTCCAAATTCACACAAAATACATTTTAATTAGGATTAAAGCAACAAACTGAATTAACAAATTGCTTCATGTAATTGGACATTTATGACTCAGCATCAAATATGCTTTATTGCAGAAATGCCAATGTTATAAGAAAGAAAGTTTTAAAATGTTTGTATATGTTAAAAAACAACAAATAGACTAGCCAGATGCACAGGTTGTGACTCTTATTATGGGTTCACAGTTGTGAAATAGGGTAAATATTTTATCTGCTTCTGTTGGGTGCTCTGTAAAAGTTGCCCATTTTTAAATTTCAGATCCAGAACACCAAGCAGGCCTCCTGAAATCCTGTCTTTATTTACTACTGTACTAATAATAGAGCAATCCTCATTTATACCAGCAGGTGTTCTGCTCACAGTTTCAACCACTGCTGCTAAATTCCAAATATATTAAAATCAATATTTTTATGCATACCGCATGCTAAAAATATATATATATATAAATCTTCAGATAATATTTTTTTGTGATTTTAAGGTTTAAATGCTGATGTTGGCTAACTCTGTGTGCTGGGGTGTGAGGCTGTGGGGAACAGGGTGTCCCCCATCCCCACAAAGCACTCCTTTGGCTCCCAGCACAGGATGAAGATGCCCTTTGGAAGCTGTCCCTGTTCTCTGCTTGTTCTTGAAATCTGCCCAGAAATTGTTTGGAACGGTGTTGTGGGGCCTGAGCCAAATAATGCAGTGAAATAACCTAACAATTTAACACCCTTAATGACTGAATTTCAGGCACCTGGAAAGTTTAATGTAATGATACAAACACAGACATAATTTCCCGGGGTGTATTCTTCACTTGTCACTGTTGCCAAACAACACTTGGATCCATTTGGAGCTGAAATTACCCTGTTGCTTGGAAGAAGCTGTTTGTGATAGGTTTTGTCAGCTCTGAAAGGCATTTTATGGGGATGCTGGTGGTCTGCAAGCTTCCAGTTAGTGGCTGCAGCTGGTGTGTGACTCCCTATTAAATGATGAAATATGGGGATTCCCAGCCTTTCCACTTTTATTTCCTGTTTCTCTGCGAGTGGCTTTGCTAAAAAAAAAAAAAAAAAAAAGGATGTCTGATGGCTGAGTAGTTTTCAGATAATATTTTCTGTATTAATTTCTTAGTGAATCATGACAAGAAGGAAAATGGCCATATGGAGATTTTTAATGACTGGCAAGGCTTTGTCTTCATGAGAAAAAGATTTCTAAATACACTGGAAATTCTTGCATCAACAATTTGCTAAGTGACCTGTATTTCTATTTGCTTGTGAGCTAGCAGATTTTCTTTATCTTTCAACAATGCTCTAATAGCAAAGACTTGTAAAATTACTTATTGCTACAATATTACTATTTTCCCAAACTATATTACAGTATGCTGTTTCCTCATCATGAAGTACTCCAGTAAAACCATCAGAGAAAAGGAACATTTAATGGTTTTGGGGCTTGTTTTGTTTTGTTTTGTTTCCATTCTCTGCACATTTTATGGTGTTGAAACGCTTCTGAGGATTTTAGAGTGCAATTAGGTATTGCAAGGGGCATGCCTTTGTAAAAGACAGTGGCAATAAGGGGAAATGATTTTGTAAGGTGGGATGCCACTTCAGTGCCCTTTATGGTTTGTTCTAGCTGTTGTCAGATTCAGTGGGAATTGTGTGTGTGTAGAAAACAAAATGTGGCTTCCAGACAGATCCTGCTTTAAACAAAACCATTGTCACACCAGGCATCCCTCTCCAAAGGTCTGACATGCTCCAGAAGCTGCTGAAATTGTCAAGGTCCTTTTCAGAACCGGAAAAATCCCAAAGAAAATCATGCTTTGTTTTGTTTGTACTTTTTGTGGAGTGTGCAAGAAAATATGGCTATGGAAAATTGACCAAAATCATATAGTGATAAATTATATATTTGTAGTGATCTTTGATGTGTAGAAAGAGACACCAGGCCCATCACTGCTTAGAAAATCTGCTTCAAAAAAAGATTTTTGGGGGTATTTTGTCATTGCTGGTAGCAGCCACTAGAGGGGGAACATAATTTATACCGTAATATCTCAACTTTTTGTACTATTTTTCATTCTGCCCACCTGTTTTCAGCATTGTGACAACACCTAGGTGAGGTGATGGCTGCAGAATCAACCCAAAAAGTGCCAGTGCCAGGGGATTTTTGGGTTTTGAAGTGGTGATGGCTGCAGAAACAACCCAAAATGTGCCACTAACTGGGGATTTTTTGGGTTTGGAGTGGTGATGGCTGCAGAAACAACCCAAAATGTGCCACTAACTGGGGATTTTGGGTTACAGAGTGGTGATGGCTGCGGAAACAATCTAAAATGTGCCACTGATGGGGTTTTTGGGTTATAGAGTGGTGGTGGCTTCAGAAACTACACAAAAGGTGCCACTAACAGGGGTTTTTGGGTTACAGAGTGGTGATGGTTGTGGAAACAACCCAAAAAGTGCCAATGCCAGGGGATTTTTGGGTTTCAGAGTGGTGATGGCTGCAGAACAACCTAAAATGTGCTACTGATGGGGTTTTTGGGTTATAGGGTGGTGATGGCTTCAGAAACAACCCAAAAAGTACCAGTGCCAGGGGATTTTTGGGTTTTGGAGTGGTGATGGCTGCAGAAACAACCCAAAATGCGCCACTGATGGGGTTTTTGGGTTATAGGGTGGTGATGGCTTCAGAAACAACCCAAAAAGTACCAGTGCCAGGGGATTTTTGGGTTTTGGAGTGGTGATGGCTGCAGAAACAACCCAAAATGCGCCACTGATGGGGTTTTTGGGTTATAGAGTGGTCATGGCTTCAGAAACAACCCAAAATGTGCCACTGATGGGTTTTTGTTTTTTTTTTTTTGCCTTCCAGGTGTTGTGTTTCACTACCGGGCTGCCACAAGCAGGTACACCCTGAATTTCACACAGGCTCACCAGACCTGCCGGGACAACGGCGCCGTCATGGCCAGCCCAGAGCAGCTGAAAGCAGCCTACGAGGATGGCTTTGAGCAGTGTGATGCTGGATGGGTGTCTGACCAGACTGTCAGGTGAGGCTTTTAAAATGCCCCTTCACCTTTTTACCCGATATTTGTGTGCCTGGCCTGTGCAGACCTAAACTGTTGTTTTGACATAATTGATGCCTTGGAGTGGCTGCCTGGAACAAAGGCTGGATAAGATTAATAGAATAAAGGGGGCATTTATTAAAGGCCTTCAATAGGTGCAGCTTGGGCAGTCAGGAGCCTCCCAGAGGGTGCACCCAAGGTGGACAATGGTCATGAACTTTTCCCACAATTATAAGTTCAGTCCATTTACATTTCAGGGGTTAATCCTCCAGTTCCAGCTTCAGGTAATGAAGTCATTTCCCCCCAGTTTGCTCCCCCCAGTTCACTTCTGTTTATACTTTCAGGGCCTGTGGCTGTAGGGTGCCCTGGAGTTTCAGGCCCAGAGGGATTGTGTTGTCTGACCCAAATGTGAAGAACCCTCACAGGAACTAACACTCTATTTGGACTTTAAAGTTATACCCTAAAGTCGTACAGTATTTGAAAAATATACAAGATGAAATCCTAAGAGTCATAATGATAAATTTTCTGCATTTCCAGGTATCCAATCAGACATCCAAGAGTTGGCTGCTTTGGAGATAAGATGGGAAAGAAAGGAGTCAGGACATACGGGCGCCGCTTCCCTAACGAGACTTACGATGTTTACTGCTACGTGGAGCACATGGAAGGTGAGATGGGTCTGCAAAGCCTGGAAGTGCACTGCAAGGCTTAAAAAGTGACTGGGGAGCCTGATGTGGAAGAGCAGAGAGGGAGAAAATTCCATTTAAAATAGGTTTTGGCTGCTCTGGATCTGAAGGGAATTGCCAAATGGAGGGAACCTACATTTTGTAGTCTTGTAGGTCCTAATTAAAGGCCAGTGTGGAGTCCACAGAGAGGGTTCAAGCTGCCTATAGTTGGTGCAGTAGATCTCACAGAAGTTGCTGTTGTAGCAAGTCAATAGCAGTCTTATTTTTTGAAAGTTATATAAAAGTATTTTCAAAGAAATGTATTTAATGTTTGAGAAACTATGTATGCTACATATAAGTATATACAAAGATAGATGTAGTATATGTGCTAACTGTATTACAGTTCATAAAGTATGTAATTAAGTCTTTTTATGTGTCCATGGCATAAAATTAGACAGCTCTTGAATTGCCATCTATGTTTAATAGTATCTTTTTAATAATGGGTCATCTCAGATTCAGATAGAAACAAATCACAAAAAACTTTGTAGTTTCTGGGCCTAGTTTAGTAAAATTATTACAGAGATACTTTGCAACCAGGACTAAAGTCTATTTTCCACTTACTACAGTGGCCTGAGTGTGTCACAATGCTGTCTGTTTGACAGTTTTTTATTCCGTGCCAGTTCCACAGTTCTTTTCTGAAAAATCCCCTGATAATTCCTAACTAAACATCCTCAGGGATGGTCCTTGGCTGTTACACATTTAATTTAGTGCTCTTAAAGTCAGCAAGCAGAACAATAAATTAGCCTTGGCTCTGAGCAAGCCTCCCTTTGTAGGTGTACATATATTTTTTAAAAGTAATTGCAAAATGCAGGCGCTCAGTGTTTGTTTCTAATCTGTTTTAGATTAGGTCATGCAAATTTTTCTCCTGCTGGTGACTTACAGAGATTTTAGTTATTGAAATCAGTAAGTGTTTTATTTCTAGTAGCTGAAAATCTGTCCTAGACACCTTGGAGATTTATGCAATACAAGCAACACAGGTTGTTGCAAAGCCTTCAGAAAATATATATGCTTGAGAATTTGTAACTTGAACTTGAAAATTAAGTGACAGAATTTTCGTAGTGCATTTCATTGTCTTAATTTTAGTTATGTCCCATTTACATCTGTCAGTGAGCAGCACCTGTGAACGTCTACAACTGATGACATTTGATCCTCCATCAGTACTTGATGGGATTGGATTCTGAATCTCCTCTAAATCAATGCTTTTTATTTCAGTTTGTGTCTTTCCTAGCCTAAAAAAGAAGGTTTAGTCAAAAACAAAATGTATCATTCCTGGGTGAAGAACAATCTCTTGCTCTTTTCCCTGTTCAAGAACAGAGAAGTGTAACTAATACAGAGCAGATTGTCCTGGGTGCATGTGAGCCAGCAGTTTCTCAGGGTCAAAATTTATCACTAAACTTTCAAAAACAGAGCTTAGGTCAAAACTGAAGCATTTTTCACTGAGTCTGATGGTCTCTGCTTGGAACAACCTGGAACGAGACTGGTGTGTGGTTCAAAGAAGCTGCAGTGACTTTGCAGTCCTCATGGATGAAAATGCACAGGTCCTCAATTTCTCATGGACATTAATTGGTTCTTTGTTTTAAAATGTAATTTGCCAAGATTTATGACCTGGTTTCCCTCTTGGGATGCATCTACACTTCTGTCTCACTGTTGTGGCCTGTCAGCTGGACTGTGGTGACATGATCTTCTTGTATATGAAAACATCCAGATTTTAACAAATATATAAACTAGAGCACAATATTGTAGAGATTTGGTTCATTATATTGCATTCATTATATTGAACAAGTTTAATGTCAGATTATTATAATAGCTAGCCAAAGACACTCCCCAACTTTTCCCTTTTGTTGTTTTTGGGGGTTTTTTTGTTTGTTTGGTTTGGGTTCCTTTTGTTTGTTTTGTTTGTTTTATTTCGGTTTGGGTATTTTTGGTCTCCCAAATTCTTAGTGTGAGATAGCGTTTCTTCTCCTCAAACAAAACTATTAAAGAGGAACTAAAATGAAAAGGCATTGGAAAGTTTTTTACTTGGCTATGTTTTTGCTTTCCAGAGGTTTTTTTGGAGTTTTTTTTTTTGGGTTTTGGTTTTTGTTTTTTTTGTTTTGTTGGTTTGGTTTTTGTTTTTTGGGTTTTTTTTTTTAATTGCATTTCCTTCTATGGGCCTTTTGTTTGTTTTGTTTGTTTTATTTCGGTTTGGGTATTTTTGGTTGGTTGGTTTCTTGTTTGTTGGTTTTTGTGTGTCTGTGAGAGAGATTTTATTATTTTCTCATTCTCTCAGAAGTTTTTAAATGATCAGGAGTGTGACAACAACTTCTACGACCTCCAGGAGGAGTTTATAGGTGTAGGGCATAGAAACAGTGTAGGTGGGTTCTGCTGACATGCAGAGGAGTTAAATCACTCTGTTTGGATGAGTTAAATTACTCTGTTTTGATGATTACTCTGCACATGCTGAGGAAAAGAGACCATGCCACATCCCAGTGTAGTGCAGGATAAACCATTCCTCAGTGCCTTCACAGAAACTTGAGCCTCTGAGCCAGACTCCCTTTTCCAGGTGGGGCTGAGGAGCCAAGGTGGCTTTGTCTGTGTAACAGGAGCAGTTTCTGTCAGGACAGAGGTTAATTTCGAGTGAGGAGGAGCTTGTTAGAAGATACACAGCATCTGTGAGTTTATACTTCAGAGCAATTCACCCACAGAAGATGGAAATTTAGAATGTCAGTGGGGTTATTGGAAAGTTGAACTAAACTAGATTGCTGTGTTGGTAGAGAACTTACAGGTTAAGAGCTAAAATTGTGCCAGATTTCTGATGGCCCTGTTCAGCAAAGGTTGATCCTGCAAGGTGTGATCTTTAGCTTAATTTATAGCAAAATGAATCCATGGCACTTAGGGTGTGCTTAAATACAGCTTTTTCCATGTGAATTTTAAAGCTCATATCTGTGTACCCTGCCCTGCTTCAATGCCAAATCTATTAGACTTGCTTGCACTAAAGAGGTCCTTATTTGGAGGGTCTGTGTCAGTGGAATGACTATTCATGGCACAAGCCTGATTAATGATGTCAAAATTTGGGCTATAATGAGGGTGTCACCATGGAAGTCATTGAACACTTATTGGTCTGTTGGCTGCTGTTGGTGTGTTACCCCAGAAGGCCATAAATGGTGGTGGGAATTCTTGCAATACATTTTAAAATAAATGTGCATTGAATTTGCAGTACTAATTTGGGTATTTGCACTGAGGATTTGTAGGAGCAACTCCATCTCGATTTTATTCCTTTTTGGCTGTGTGGAATCAGGAAGTTAGCCAGAGACATGGATTTCTCCTTAAATCACAAACTATTAGCTTAAATTGAAACCAGTTATCTAGGCTAACTCTTGCCATTTCCTTGTTCTGAGGAAAGCCAGAAAGATTAAAGACTGCACAATTCTAATTTAAATAGTATGAGTTGTGCTGCAATAGTCAGAAGAATAACTGTGGGAAGGATTGAAAATTTCTGAGCTCCTGGAGATAAAAATGAGAACCTGGAGTCAAAGTATCATTAAAAAGGTACTAGGCATGGTGTTTTATTACAAACTGTTTTACATTCCTCATATTTCATCACTTATTTCAGTGTACCAAGCACTAACAGAAACATTTGGGTACTTTTAGCTGCAGGAAGCAGTTTATGAGTAAAGACTTTAAAGTGACTGAGCTGCAAAGGTTTGGGTGAGGATCCCTTAACAGCACCAGCCGAAGGGGTGTCTCCTGTGGTGTAATCCCTTGGATGGAGATGGGTGGTGGGTGAGGAAGAGTTTGAATTCTTCAGACCAGCAGCGTGTGGTTGCTTTGGCAGCGCTGTGGTGTCAGAGGTGGAGATAGAGCCACCACCAAAGCCCAGTGGTGGAGTGAGTTTGTGCTGAGCCAAAGCACAAACCACCCCAACAGGATTGTCTCCTGGCCAGAACCCATCGGAGCCCATGTATGCCTGACAAGCCCCCCTCATGTGCAGATGGGGCCCTCACGCTAGCAGAGTTATTTTTGGGGTGTCTGTGGGGAAGATTGTACAGCCCTCCTTCCATGAACCACCTCCCCCCCACAGTGAGCGCAGGGAAGAAGGATAAAAACCAAAACCAGATGTCCTTGGAATATTTTCCACCTACTCTCATGCGGTTTTGCTGTTGTCATGGAAATTTCTGTGAGAATGATAGTCATAATTGAAGGAGTCTTAGTCTAAATTGTGGCCTCAGGTGAGAAGTTTCTTCTGTGTTTTGGGCAGCTAAAGATCTTCTCTAGGGTCTATTCTGATTCTGGAGCAACTAGATTAGGTTTCACAGCTAGGACACAGAGAAAATAATGTTTTTTTTCTCTAGTTCAGGGCCTGTGGCAGAATTATGAGCCTTTCCATTAAACTGGACACTTATCCAGCCTTGGATTGTGTGATGTCATGCAGGGTTAAGTTCTCAAGAGGATTCCTGTTCAGCCAAGGGGTCTGCACAGAATAGACTCAAGACATTCAGGAAAGTTTAGTTAAATCATTGCTGCTGTGCATCAGAAGGAATCAACTGACTTGTTCTGACGTGCAAGAGAAAATGACTTCTTCATCTTGTCCAGCCTTCTGCTTTAAAGTTGAACCAAGCTGCTTAGATGCTTGTGGTTTTCCAGCCCTGCAGAGTGGTTTTGGTAATTAGTGACTTTGTTAAGGACACCTCTTTATTACCCTTGTGTGTCAGAGAACCAGCCCTGAGCAGCACAGAAAGAGAGGAAGGAGATGAGGATGTTCTTGGTCCTGAAGGCACAAGCGTAAATGTTTTAGTCCTCAAAGTGGTCATGATACTCCTGCTTCTTTGTACACTTGACCATGTCCTAGGAATGAAGTTTTGAAGAGATTCCACATTTCTGAAAGTTGTGATGGCAGTGCCTCATGACTGCGTGGGTTTTGACCAGCTGGCTGCGTCCAGGTGAGGAGCAGTAACCACAGGTTACAGGTGCAGGTGAGAAAATGCCCTTGGAATGCTCTTTATAGCATCAGAAAAAAAGGCATTTTGCCACTCTTATCCAGCTTTTGTCTCTGACCCAAGCTACCCTGATCTGCAGCTGTAGTCACAGAACCCAGGAGCTCTAACACTCCCAGAGGACATCTCTGCTTGATTAACTTGGTGGTTCCAACTCTCAGAAACAAATGAATAGGTCTGGAGTTCACCACAGGCACATTATGCTAAAAAAAAAAGAAAAAAAAAAAAAAAAAAAAAAAAAAAAGGGAGCCCCCAAATTCTTAGGGGGAAAGCATTTCCTTCTATGGGAATGATTAACTTTTCATATAATTAATATGCATTTTGTAACACCTGGCTTTGGATGACTGTGAAGGTTGTAGAATCGGAGCGCCTGACCACATGATAAAGCTTGTGAGCACCAAATTTCAGATGGCACAGTAATGATTACAGAATCACAGAATCACTGAGGCTGGGTAAGAAGAATTTTGAGATCATTAGGTCCAAACACCAACCCAGCACCGCTACCTTAGTCAACACAGGTTGTGTGTTGACCCCTGGTTCTAGCCTGCCCTTCTTCCCACCTTGCTTTTAAGTTGTGTGATTCATGACATTCACGTCTACCAGTGTGCCCAGCTCACCCAGACATCTCCTGAGAAAGTGAATCAAAGCAATGAAACTTTCAGCTGATAAGATTTGTAGCACTGATTCTTGTAGAACTTAAACTTTTTCCTCAGGGATTGCAGGTGAGCCAGCTTTTGTCTTCAAGAGAAAAATCTGACTTCTTTATCTGCCCCAATATTTTGTAAAGAGATGGAAAAAGCCTGACTTTCATCAGGTATCTCTTTTGACCAAGCAAAACAAACACATGTAAGAGGAAAATCCTGGGGATTCTTGGAGTGCAGTGACCGCTGAGGCTGCTCCATCAGCCTGAGGCTTGGTTTGGAACAGGAGCCAGCAATAACACACATTACATTATTGTCTGCAGCCTAAACACTGTCACGTTCTCCACCCCACCCCCTGGTACTGCAGAACCAGTTTTTCTTCATCTGCTGGCCTAAGCCCTGGGCTTTACCTGCATAGTATTGCTGAGTTACACAGAGTGTGCTCCAGCTATAAAAACAGGGCATGTGGCTGTTTAACACACACAGAATTGAATTTGCCCTGCCTGGTGTTGGTGGCTATGTCATTTGTTTGTCGAGCAGATGAGTTTTCCCTCTCTAATTTCCTTGTTTTCAGGGTTTGGGCTGGGAAACTGAGGGGCTTCCAGTCATCTTAATAAAAACACTGTAAGAGTGTGGTGGGATCTGTCCTCCTGTTAAATATGGAAGCTGTTGTGCTTTCAAAAACGGGAGTTAATTGTAGAGACTGCATGGATTAAATACATTTCATTAACTTCAGAATTACTTTTCTTGCTTTTTAGAAGAAGATTCTGTGCAAGTCTTGAGTCCTTTTTCTCTTTGAAGGAGTCAGGATGTTTCAGCCACATGTTAGAATTGAAGGAGATCAAGAAACCCCAGGAAAAAACCCCATATTTTAACTTTTTTTTGTAAGGCGGTTTGAGAAGCTTGCAGAAGCAGAACAAACTTTCAAGTGTTTCTGGATTCATATATCAAGCAAGGCCTTTATTAAACTCTTTCTTTGTTGTTCACATTTCATCCCAAAAATTATTAAGAGCATTAAGTGCACATTTAATCACAGAGAATTTTAATCTATTTTCAAACTGGAGAGACAAATTGAGGAGTCATAGCTCCTAGAGTAATTTGCTGCTATTTGCAATATGACTTTTGCCCATTACTCGATTTTTTAAAAATAAGAATTGTGGAGTCATAGAAAAATGCTCTCTAACTAGGCAATTACAAGATTACATGTTTTAACATCTTTGCCGTTTATCTTATCACTAGCATTCCTGCAATAAATGCACATTTACTTGGTATATGATAGAATTTTGCTGATTGCCCTGCTGCCTTTTTGCCTTCTTTGTGAGGTTATTGTCACAAATTCTTGAATATACCAATTAGGTGTCAAATACTTCGGATTTCACTTAATGCATTGTTTTGGTTAAGATGTGTTTTTCCTTAAATATGTGTGGTTTTTTTGTTTTTTGTTTTTTGAAACTGTGTTGGTTTGGTTTGTTTTTTTTTTTGTGACAAAGATGGTGTTTTTTTGACAGCAGCTTATTTTAACAGATGAACAAAATAAGCCCATATGGGGTCAGTAGAATATATTCAGTGCAGAGAGGGGCATGACACTCATCTTTTAAGTGTGCAGGATTATCACTGTTGCAGACATAGGCACACTCCAAGGCACATTTGAGGCAGACTTCTGCCTAGAAAGTGCAGCTTGGGTAAGTCATTTCTCTGCAAAGTGACCTCTCTTAAAGAAGAACCCTGCATGTTGAAATCTTACACCAAGACTTAACCCCTCACTAAGTTTCTCTGTCTTAACTTGAGTGCAGATGACAGCTCAGAGGAATAAATAGCACTAACTTTAATGATGTGGTGTACAAGCTCCATTTGGAGCTAGTGATCCAAATCACCTGATGGAAAAATTGCTTTCCTAGTAATCTTGCACTGTTTACCCATTCTCATTCTATAGTTTATCTCATAAGAAGTGTTGTGGGGTTGTCTGCAATTATTTTTTTGTTAACAGAAGTCACGCAAATTCATTGTTCTTCTTCACTTTTCTCACTCATCTAGCTGGAATGATATCTGCTGTATAATTGCAATTAAATTGCATTTTAACTACTAATTTTCATATACATCATGGCTGCTGTGAGAGGATCATTGAACAGTTCTCAGAGCAGAGAGGGCTGCTCTGGAGAGGCCTTTTTTTGCTCCCCTGTTTCATGGTGCTGCTTTTGGGACAGGACTTTGGGATAACTGCACCCATCACTCTGTGCAGGACGTGGCAGCAGAACTGGCAGGCAGATGCAGAAGGATGTAACAGAAAAAAATGCTGATTTTCTGTGTGGTCTGAAGAGCTGAATGAGCCATTCTGAGGACGAATGGCTCTTTGCTTCCCTTATCTGTCCCTCTACCTCCAAGCTGGGAGCAACACACAATGTGCATAGAGCAAGTTACACTATGGGATTGGTGCTACAGCTGTAATAACAAATCAGAGCCTCTACCTAGGAGGAAAAAGAAGGCTGGCACCTTGCCTCCTTTCACACTTGCATTCCTTTCAGGCCCCAAACAAACGTAATATTGATGTGAATGAAACTGCTCGGGGTGATGTAGTTTCTGTCTGCATTTTTCTGTGCTCCCTTCAGACCTGTGCAAGGGTAAGACAGATTGGCTGGCGTGGAAAAGCAGTGTTTTCGTGCAACAGTGGCTGTTATGTCCTGGCCTGCTGTGGCTGAGGGAGGCATTGCTGTCTTGCAACAAATATTTTGATTTTGCCCTGCCGGTTTGTACATCTCATTTTAGGTCTGGCTGGTTTCATCTGAAGTCTAAGCAAAAACTTGAAAAGGGTCAGTTTATTGCTTCATTCCCAGGACATGAACATGAGAGGCTTGACTTTTCTTTAGAGTGTTTGTGTGAGTGAGGCAACCAAGACAACTGCACAATGGTGGTTTACCTTGGAAGCAAAATATTAGATGTGCTGTTTGCTTTGTTTTAGTGTCCAACTGGATGGTTATTGCTTACAAACTGTTATTCCTTGGAAGCTGAATTATGCTATCAACATTGTAGACTAATTCAGCTTCTCCACACAAAGAGGGCTTTGTGCATGCAACATGTCCTGTGCATTTCCTCACCTTTGTTTCCAAATGGGACAAGAGGAAGGCTGATGGAAATCCAACATTAGAAGCTGCTCTGGAGCAGCCAGTGAAGAATGTTTCATGTTGTTTGATTGCTTGAAGCGAGATTCCAGCAATGCCTAAAAGTGCCAGGTAGGAGGCTTGCAGAGATAGAAGATATGCTTTATGGTTGTGATGGACTGGATTTAATTAACTCAGTTGAGCTGCAAATTCTGCTCTAACGGGGTCACAGTGGAGCCTCAGGGCTTACTAGAGACCAAGGAAGGGACTCACTGTCCAGCCACAGTGTATGCCATGGCATAAAGTTTGCTTATAAATGCTCATGCTTTGTGGCAGTTTAACTTTCAAACTCAGGCCTGGAACATTTGGTTTACAGATATCTGATTATTTTTCTCTTTAAGGAAAAAAACACTCATGTTCTGGGAAAAAATCCCCAACCTTGCAGGACTCTAGAACTGATTGATGGTGGAACATGCTACTCAACCTTCGCTCCTTTTTTTTTTTTTTTTTTTCCTTTCTGTTTCCTCCTGCAGATGAAGTGGTCCACGTCTCATCCCCCCAGAAGTTCACCTTCGAGGAAGCTAGGGAGCTGTGTGAGGAGCGAGGCGGTGTCCTGGCTTCCGTGGGGAACCTCTACGTGGCCTGGAGGAACGGCTTTGACCAGTGTGACTACGGGTGGCTGGCGGACGGCAGCGTCCGCTACCCGGCCTCCGTGGCGCGGCCCCAGTGCGGCGGGGGTTTACTTGGGGTGAGAACCCTGTATCGCTATGAGAACCAAACAGGCTTCCCTTACCCCGATAGCAAGTTTGATGCCTACTGCTATGAACGTAAGCATTTATTGTTTTTCTTTTTTGGGGTGGTGGTTTGCAGCACGCTTGCCGCGAGAAGCGGGTGCTTTATCGCGTGTTTTGTGTCGGTTCTTGTGGCGCACGCTGTTTTTAGAAACTAAAACATTGTTGTCTTAAACTAACATTGTCAGTGTCTTAAAGTAACATTGGCAGGTGAAGACAGGCAGAGTTTCAAGGTAAGATTTCAGCCTGAGCAGTGTTTTGACTGTGAGGCTGTGGGTGCTCCGTATTTTGGTGCCTGAGCACACCTTGGTATCTTTGTATCTTGTCAATGGACACAAGACACACATTCAAAGCTCACCTGGGCATGTCACCTCCTCCAGGTGATTCTGCCTTGGCAGGGGGCTGGACTAGATGATCTCCAGAGGTCCTTTCCCACCACATCTATTCTGTGGTTCTGTGATAAATGTCCTAAAGGTGAACAGTGGATATTCTCTGTCTGATGATGGCAGCAAGAGAAGCTGTTCACGGGCTGTGAACAAGGCTGGCCACTTTCAGGTCTCTCAGATGCCAGTAATTTGGGAGCTATCTCTGGATCCCAGGCACGTTGTCTCATCACTTTCTTTCTGTTTATTACTCAGTGTTTCATGGGCCAGTGGGTGGTCTAAATTGCCTTTCTTACTGCTGCTTGTTTTCCTCCTGGTATTTTCACAGGCACTTCAAGCACTTGCCACATTCACATGGTAGGCTTCACCAATCTAAACCAGATGTTCTCCACACCTGTCAGCCTTCTTTTGGGGTCAGATATTGCCCTGTAAGCTCATCTATCTTCAGTGCCAGCCACTTGGCTGTGTTATGGTGCAACCTCTCCTTGAATAGGTTCCTGTTGTCCCAAAAGTTTCACCAGCATCCCAGCTGAATGTTCTGCTTCCCTGAGGCTTGCAGCCTCAGCACAGGGGGGTTGGACAGCTCAGCTATTTCCCTGCAGGCCTCTCTGTCCAAGGAAGTTCCTTATTACAAATAGCATGACTGACATTAACTTTGTGTTGAGTTAAAAGTTCAGAACTTGGTCATTATGAATATTTAGGTTTTTTGGACTCAGTCCAGTGACTGTAACTCAGAACTACTTGAAATGTGCAGTTTGTACTGTCCCCATTTTTGTGGATAATGAACTTACTGCAGCTGCAGATCTTTCCAGCTCAGGCACTGAAGACCCATTTATGAGCAAATCTTACTCTTTGAGAACAAATCCCGACATCTGCTGCAACATTATGGTCTGGCTGTTCTCAGACACTGTTGGTTTGTTGTTTTAATTTTCCTTTATAGTTTGTGGGTATGATGTTCCAAAACTTTGCATGTGGAAATAGTCCTAATGGAACTGGTTACAGGAAAAAGGACTTAAGTTCAGGAGTCTGTGCTCTAATCTGCAGAGCAGCATTTTTTCATATCACTTATTCTGTTCCTACTCCAAATTGTTTATGACCTATTTAAAGTGTTGTGGATAAAAAAGACTTTAATGAGGGTGTTTTTCATAAGTCCCTCTAAAAGACTGGAGTAAGGACTGAACATTTTGCCTGTAATCTAGTCTTTAGTTAGGACAAATTCCAACCTGCTGTTTGTTTTTGTGAATTTTGCCGCTTTCAAGCAAGATGTGCCTTTACAATGTTCTTTCCAGAAGTTTTAGTTAGCACAGTTTGTGGTAACATACCATTTGTTCTAAAAGTGACCTTGGTAGATATTGGGTTGTTGCTTTTAATATAAAGAGTTTTCCTGAGAAGTCTTGCCCTTGGTATATAAAGAATAAATATTTCATCACAACCCAGGAATAGACAGTTCAGGACTATCAAAGTTTTTACAAGAGAAAATAAGACTAAACAGAACCAAAACAATTTGGTAGAGACTGAACAGCTCTCCAGCACTTTTAATTACAAACAACAGAATATCAGAATTAATTAAACACTGCTGGCTAGAGGACTCAGGTTTTGTCAGATGCATCTGCCTTTGTGTAGGGAAATGCAGGGGTGTCATGCTCTACCCTCCTTCAGGGTGCCACAAATTTCAGAAGTTACTGAAAGCTCTCTGTCCCTCTCAGAAGGTGCTGGGGATCTCACAGGAACCAGCTGTGACTCCTCACTGCTTTTGCTAAAAGATTTATGCAAGTGGTGAGTAATGAGACTCCCTGCCCAGCATCTTGGTCCTCCACATCTCAAGCAGCTGCCTGGTGCAGTGGCTTTAGAGTGAGTCACTGTCTCCCACTGGGGCCTTGGAGCCAGTCCCTTCTTTGGGGCAGAAAAAGGGAGAGGATTTAAAAAAAAAAAAAAAAAAAAAAAGGCTCTTCATGAGAGCAGAAGGCTTGAATTTAATCCCTTTGTTTAAAATCATCCTTTGTCTGGAAGTTTCTTCCTAAATTTCCCATTATCTCAGTTTCAGAGTTTCAGTCCACCAGAAAATCTGTTGTCCCCCTGCTCTGCCTGTGCTGGGGTTGACATTAAGATCTCAATGTCAACCCCAGCACAGATCTTAAATCACACAGTGCCTGACAACAAAACTGTCCTGCCCAGGACCTGGGCTCTCAGTGTAACACAGCTCTCACGGTGTGTCTCACACCTCATGGGTGTGTCTCCCTCCTCACCTGCACATGCAGTCACACCCACAGCACCTCTGTGCTTATTCAAGCTGTTCCAGTCTTCACAAAGACAAACTGTGCATTGGAGAAAGGGGGTATCTCCTTCTTCGTCCTGCTCAGTCTCCTCATTCCTGTTCCGTGATTATGAGTTTCTCTGCTGGAAAGTCTCAAAATGTTAATTTTCATTTGTGGTTTGAAGAAACCTCAATCCGTATTTTGAGCATTTTGCTTGCTTTTAAAGAGGAATCATATTTATTGAAATACATGAAAAACACAGGGAGTAAATTCAATTTAAAAATGATATTCACTAGTTTCAGTAGAGCAGCCAACCTGGACAACTTTTAAAGTACAGTTAAGTTCAGGATTTTAACTTCATCAGTGTTATGGGTACAAAATTACATTGTATGAAGTGTCTTGACTTTATGAAAATAAGAGTGGCCCAGACTAATAATACATGATTTAAAATCTAAAAGCCTTGTTAAAAACGCTGGAACTTTCTCCCCTTTGATCACAAGTGCTTTTCACTCTTCAAAAACCACATGGGTCTAAGTTTCTGAAACATTATCTGTGTGTTTCATTTCATACTTCCAAGACTTTTGCCAGACCTGGTTTTTTTTTTTTTTCCTTTTC